TTGTCTCATCTCTCAATTTTGGAAAGAATGCAAATAAGCATTTTTGTTGAACTATTCATGTTTTTTATGATTTTGTTTAGGCAACTGAAAGCACTTTTAGGTTAAAAATTTAACACCCGATAAAACAAATTGTTCTTTGTCAGGTAAAGAAGGATCAAGAGAGTCCTTTGCACAAACATCAGAAAAGAACATTATGAAAGTCCTCATTTTATTCCTGAGGTTAATTTGTATTGTATGTATAGGGTGTATCAATAGGCCGACATAGTGATATTGCACTTCTTTCTTTTCAAAATCTTCTTTAACTGCTCACCTTGTTTGTACACAGCATCCCTCTTGACTCCTGGAAAGATCACCCCACCACTTGTCAAAAGCGTATACTCACGCACACTCACACACACACACATACGTTCAACCTCATCCAGCGTCAGACTCCCTGTTGCTCTAACCTGATGGAGCCATCAGCCAGAAGCCAGACAGGGAGCAGTTGTTCTCATGGTCTCGTCCCCGCTGCAGAGCCTTGACACAGGGAGAGAGAAACAATTTGGCCTCCCTCCCACAGTCACAGCTCTGGGAGCCAGCAGGGGAGGCAACTTGGGGTTGGTGTGTGTGTGCGTGACAGTGAGAGAGCGAGACAAAGGGAGGTCAGTTGGTGTGGGTGTCTGTCAATCAGTGAAAAAGAAAAGACAAGTCATATTTCTGAGAGTGAGTGTGTGTTCCAATATGGAAAATGTCAGATAGGGGCATGGTGGATCTATTTGCGGCCAAATAGCTTGTTCCATCAATGTTAAGGGAGTTTGCTTTCAACAAGTGGGATATACCTTATTTTCACTGTATTCTTTGCATATAGAAAGCCTCTCTTTTGTCCTTCCCAGGGACACAGGGTGTGCAGATGCAGGTTGTTTGGCCAGCTTTGAATATTACCACAGGCACAGTAAGACAGCGAGGCTTTTGACACGGGGGCTAGGACAAAGGGAAAAAGGGTCGTGGTGAAATGGTTAATGTGAATCTTAATAGAGGCGGCAATGTCATTATCTCTAAATCCGCTGAGCCCTCTCGACTGGGGTCGCGGTGTAGACGCCACTTTACATCCCGAGCGTGTCAGGCCGATAGACCGGGGGCATGACTGCCAATCCCATCCGGAGGATTTGTGTCCTCCTCCACCAAATTCAGTAAGCACATGCAGGCTCATAAAGGTGTTGAGAATTGAGGAATTTGTCTGGGAGACATGGCCAAAGTCAATGAGCTAGTTTTGCCTTTCAGCTGCAGGAAGAGGAAAGGAGGTTGAGGCCTTGCAAGGCACCTGAATCCTGCACCTCCTTCCCCTGAAACAGGCCTGAGCAAAGGAGGGCTGTCTGCCTTTAAATGAGATGAACACTGTCAGATTTACACACTGCCATGGTTTCAACCAACGCCTGATAATCCCTTCCCAGAAATAAATTGTCCCATTAAAATGAAATGTTGCCCATATAGGTTTAATAAATTGAAAACGCTTGTTTGAATCCTCGGTAATTTGGACGGAATCCCAAGCATGTAGCAAAGGCTCCAGCAAAATAAGATTATTTGCTGTGTATTATAATGTATGCAGCAGTTTTTATGCGACCAAACAGTGTCAGTGAACCCCCGATGAAATGTGTGCTTATTTATATGCAGTTATTCAGGTATGCAGTAAATTCCAATTACTTCTTAAGATTTCTATTTAGCATGAGGGGAAAATATGACAGGGAAGCTCTGTGTTTTGAGCGGCATTGTAAATCTCGTTAACTCTTTGAGGCATATTGCGAGAAATCTGCATTCATGTCAGGGAGTGAGTAGCGCATAAGATTTTAACAAGTAGCTAATAGTTCTGAATGGGGATGTGTTAGAGGGGCCCGGAGTAGATTCAGCTAATGTGAAGATTTCAAGGCTGATTCCAACAGATTTGTTTGTATGATGCTGCTTTACATTTTGTAATATAATAATATATAATAATATAAATGTACTCTTGTTGGCACAGAAAAGCCTCTGAAACAGCATTTAAACCATCGTGGGACACAGGAACTCCCCACTAAAACCTAGACCATTGAAAAATGTTCATGTCTAGCATTCTATAAGGCACTGTGAACCCTCCACATGCATTTATTAAAAGAAATGTATTTGATACATTAGACCTTTAAAAATATGTGCTGTCCCATTTTAATTTAGGCATTTATTCACATAATTAGCTTCATTTTTGTATTTTTTTTGTATTTCCTTAAGCATGAAAAGCTCTTTCTTGAAACAGTTGAAAATCATAATCGCAACCCAGCTTGACCTATAATAATATAAACAAACAATGGGTTGGGGGAACTGGTTTGGGACCTCTGCTCAAGACTGGGACCAGGCCTGGAATATTAACAAAAGGCCTAAACTGGCAAACTCATGCATTGGTCTCACAGATATGTGTGTCCTGACTGTGTGCTTATTTGTTCAACTGTTTCATGAGCTACAGTATGAGTGGAAGCTTGATGCTTGTATCCCCCCCAGTGTTCAGTCCCCCGTCTTGGCCCCCCAGGGGCCCTAAATCCCCGCTGCTCTTCCCTGCTGCCCCCCTCTGACGTGCAGCATGCCTAGGCGAGCGGCGCTTTGCCTATGCATTAGCCATCCATTTCCCCCGGCTGACACCTCTCCAACATAAAACCGTAAGGCAGAGGTAAAATATCTCTCTCCTGGCGAAAATAAAGCTTTGTCTGCCTGCTGATCTATTGGATATAAAAATAAAGCCGCGGCTTTGATGCGGGCTTTACCTCTGCGCGCCTTTGCTTTTTGCGCACACAAAAGCTCCAATGAAGATGGATAGTGCGGCATTGGCCGCGGTGTGTCCAGCACAGCAGCATCATTCACTCCACTTCTTCTTCCTCCTCCTCCTCCTCCTCCTCCTACCCCCCTTTCCTCTCACAGCCTTTTTTACTCAGATGTTGTTGAGGACTGCGCTGTTTGTTATTGATCAGTGAATGTCGATAATTATGCAGGCTAATCGGCTTTGGAAAAGTTGCAGCGTTCACATTAAAGAATAATCAGTTCTTGATTCTTGTTTGATTTCAGTGATTTTTTTTGTATGGGGCGTGAGAACATTTCCAGGTATACATGGACATCTGTGATTCCACAGTATTTAGGCTACTGTTTGTAGCTATTTGGATGAGGAAGATTTGTACAGAACCGTGGCTGGTCCTTGGTTTTGCTGTTGTATGCCCTTATTTTACAGGCCAACTGCATTTAGATTTAGATTTGCAAGAGTTTCATTTTAATGATATCCTGAGATTTAAAAAAATCATAGGTCGACTACAGATAATTTAGTTCTAGCTCTAGCTCACATATATGCATAGGCTATGTATCATAGGATATATAAAGCAGCAGTAAATGCTACAACAGAAATACATTTAAAATAGACTAAATCTAAAGCTGAGCTTAAAATCTTTGATTTTCTTTCAAACACCATAAGAAGGTATTTCTATCTGCGTTTCTAAACATGGAATTTGAATATAAGCACCAAGCAATGATAAGTCGTTCTGTCCTGCAGCACTTCATAAAAAGGGTTAGGTCTTAAAATGGATCGTGGAAAAGCAGAATTACGAAGGGGATTGAAACACATTTGATTGTATTTTCAGTTTTTGAATCCTCTTATTTTATTTTACACTAAAATGTTTTAATTATAATATCGGTTTTACCCGGTACTCTAACCAAATAACCTTTAAAACCATTTTCTTCTGGGGTCAAATTGTCATTCACTAAGGTTTTCCACAGGGCCTCTTTAGTGCTGTAAAAAGCCGTTTTAGAAAGCACTAAATGTTCCAGGTAGTCGTAATTAAATCACTTAAAATGTCTGCTGTTAAAAACAACGAGAATGTTTTTAAGGTGAAAATTAGTGGCTGGATGTTTCACCATAAATCCTCATCATCTCATTGTTAATAAAATAATAAAAACAGCAGCTGTATGGTGAAGCAGCATTCTGCTCTGGTCTGCTGTACATTGTAATGCAGGTATCAGCAGCGGCCAGCTCTCCCTCTCTCCATCCTTGCGGGCTTTTTATTTCAGAGCGCAGAAATCCGCTGCGGTGGCAGTAGCAGCTATCTGCCGCTCTGCAGCCATGCAGCCCGTCCCCAGAGCATTGGCCACCGGGCGATAATATCTCAAAGGGAGTGGTTATCGCCACACATTATATTATAATCATTAGTGATCCTAGCCCTTTCACCCCGACTGCAGAATAAACGCGGAGTACCATTAATCTGAAATAGGGGAAATGCTTTGGAGGCTGCTTCCCAGCGCCTTTATGTGTTCATTTCTCAGTGACTCTGTTTGGAGCATTTTCATATGAGAAAAGGTAGTTATTTTATTTTCATTCACAGTGATGTTGGAGGTCTTTGTTGAGGAATCCCACCTGGCTCAGTCAGTCAGTGCTCTCACCCTGATATGATGGAAACGATGCAGATTTTGTGATTTGTACTATTGATTTAACAGACTATATGACATCTGCAGACCTCTGTTATGTATTTGCATGAATATCATTTTAATGGGTTCCAGAATTCTAGTGTCCCGTCATGGTTTAAAATATGCTCACATGTGGCCTTTACTGGCATAGAAACACTACAATTTGGAGAAAACACGAAATATAGGCGATATATACTGTAGTCTTTTTAAATTATCTTTTTACTTCCTCACTTACTTGCATAAAGATTGCCGATATTTAAAGATTTTAAAATGCCCATATTGTTGCGAATTTACGAATATATATATATATAATTTTTTTTTTTTTTTCCATAAATCGTACTTTTAGCTTTATTATTAAATATAGTATTACTGGAATAAAGCTGGCTGGGAATGTGCAGTCACCGTATTGCCTTCTAAAGCTTTATTCTGCCATAACGCCAGCAATAAATTGGAATTAGGGACATAATAATATAATAGTAATTATAATAGTATCATTGCCTAAGCCCTCTCTTTGCCTGGGCTGAATTCGCCCCCTAGAGGAGTGAGCGGGACTCTGGTGGTGGTTGCGGTGCTGTGGTGGTGGTGGCCTTGTGTCTGGGTGACCTCGTTGTCTCGTACAAGGTTACTGTTCTGCACCCCAAATCCCCAGATTCACTCAGTCATGTGATCACACATACAGTGAAGACAGTGGTGGTTGTAGCTGTGTGGTTCTGGAGGTCGGATCATGACATCCTCTGAATATGGGCTAGTGTGTGTGGGTGGAATGGGGGTTGACTGACTGAGAAGAGACAGCTGTAGGGAGGTGATCTATAAATCCCATTGGATTTCTCTCAGCACAGGCCGGGACCAGAGTTGGAAAGTCTGGAAAATGTTTGCTTAGAGTTGCCGTTGGCTCAATAATCCACGTTGAGTTCACATCGGCATATGTTTGGCTGCTGATCTACAGGAGGAGGAGGGGGGGTGCGGAGGGAGGACACGGCTCAGCCAGTCGATTGTGGGACTCTGCGTGCTTAGCTCCTACAGCCTCCCCAGTCATATGAGTTATTCAGTGACAGACTCAGAATTTTCCCAAATCTGTCAGCTATAGGGCCTTTCTGCTGCGTGAGCAGCGCGCACCGGGATGGGTCTGCGGCGCATGGATGGATGGATGGATGGATGGATGGATGGAAGAAGGAGGGAGGGTCGGATTTCGGTCCTGGGAGTGCGTGATAAAGTGGTGAAGAATGATTGACAGACTAGGCAGGGCAGGGACAGACAAATACAACCACCCTCTACCCCCCCTCAACTACCTCTGCAAACTCGTATTTATGGAAAGGATGGTAAACTTTGCGTCAAATGTGTGCGCTTTTCAAGCAGTTTGCGCTGCCAAGACACGTTGAAACACCTTTTTGTGGATGGGAGAATTACGTAAAAATACTGCATTTTCAGAGTGTTTTGTAACTTGAAAAAAAACACACAGATACATTCTGATGCTGACTTTCGTTATTGGCAGAAGAAAGATATGCATTTTTGCACATTTTTCGTTTCAAAAGAATCCTCTTTGTTTGTAATTTCAGGTAGATTTTATTGCGTTCATATGGCAGGCGTGTTTGCACAGCAACTTAAGATAAGTGCAATGAAATAAAGTAAAAATTATTTCTGTCTTATTTCTCATGAGCTTGTAATTGTCTTTTTTTTCTTTCAGCAGTATTCACATTTTGCCACAACAGCACCTTCGAATATTTTTACTATTCCATGTGGTGAAGTTTTCCAAGTAGGAATAGCGATGAAAAAATATAGAAATGATATTAACTGAGCCACTTTCACAGAAATTGGGCTGTTTATTCCTAAAATAAACGCATTCGTATGCCAGAATGATCAATGCGTCTTATTAAGAATCATGAATGTCAGCGCCTGTTTGCAATATTCCTTTGAAAAAGCGGGGGGGAAATCCTGCAGAGGGACTGCAAAGCAAAGCAGAGCAGCGGACCGGTACCCCACCCTCCACTGCCACCCCTCCTCCTCCCCGGTACACTCAGTTGATCAAAGCTCCAGTCGGGGGTGATCTTTCTCTCTGTATTACTGGAGTCACGGTTTGTCCCCCGGCAGCCTGCCCGGCCTCACTGGCCCGGCTGTAATGTCGCACAGCTAGACTTTCACAGCCCGGGAAACTACAAGTAGAAGAAGAAATGGCTTTTAGTATCTCGTTCTCATATTTTAAACAACTTTTCCCAACCCACCTAATCACCTGCGCGATTCAGCATTTAGTCTTTATTCCAAAGTCTTCTCCTTCTCCAGCCGTGCCCCTCATACATTGTTGTGGTGTCATTGTGTCTCTTAACTGAGCCTGGAGGAGAGAGGGGAGACAAATAAACGTGTCATGATTAGAATTAATGATTGCATGCATCTTCTCAGCCTCATTCATTATCTCAGATTAATTATCTCGCAGTGTACCAGTTCACTTGTCTGCACTTCATAAACCCCAAATCTCCTGGGCTGCTTTACAACACTATGGCCTTGATATAAGAGGATCCCTTTCCTTAACGGTGGTAGCATGGCTTGTATTGTCCAAAACCAGACTTTTAAGAGAGTAAAAGAAATGCATAAAATATAAGATGTAAATAAAATAAAAGTCCTCTTAGTGGGCGCCAATAAAAGACACATTTCAGATTAATTTGGGTATTTACATTTTCATTTTCAGCTGGTGTTATCACTTTGATTTTTTAATAGGCCTTCTGCCATCAAATCTACCCCCAAGAATTCTGAGATTAAAGCAGGAGAAAAAGAATAAGTTTTGTTTTCTTCAGCTGGAGCGCAGACTGCACCACAAATTCCAATTTACAAGTTGTGCCTGCAACAGAATGAAAATATGAGTGAGAATAAAATCTATTGCTAGTAAGGGATTACAGTGGTGAGGTTAAAACCATTTCTGCATTTAATAGTGTCTTTGCCTGGAGGGGAGTTTAGATATGTTTAAGCCTATAGCCTATATTTCCTTCTATTTGTGGATTAATCTGCCTCTGTGAGCTGGCCTTTTCTCTCTCTGGTTTATTCTAAATCAGGCAGAGATTATCCCCACTGACAGGCTATCAATGAATCTTTTACACATGGAAATAACAACAACTTGTGTTGTTTACATGCTGCATTTACAAGTTTGTGTCGTAAGGCCTCCAGACTGCAGGGTTTCTGGGGTTCTTTTCAGATTCTCCTGCAGGTTTTAGTGCAGAAAAAACCCTGACTTTTGTAGTCCAACAGAAATGCAACATTCCCGTTGCTGATTGTCCTTCTATGCAGAACTTTGGACCGCCCAGTTTTGATGGAGCTCAGTGACCCCTGTCTCCCTGTCTCTCTGATGGAAACCGGATGGAAATAATCAGACGCTCCGCAGAATGCGCTCAGACGCACCGTCCACAAAAAGACAGAAAAAACAGAAAAGTAGGGGAAAGGAAGGAAAAAGACAAGAAGGAGACTGGAGCTGAGAGAGAGGATAGTGCCGGGTTGAAAAGCGAAAAACTAAAAAGAGATGGAGTCTGTGTTTTTAAGCCTTATCTCTCCTTTCTTCAAGCCACTAACACATGTCCTGTTGAAGGGGCGCTCCCCAGACGCCGGGAGGCAGCTGGACGGGGACGGGCAGGCGTTTTGCATGAGAAGCAGCCCATATGCAAGAGGGTGCTGGCGGGTGATTGGTAGAGAATAAATGGGTGTCCCTGGGTCGCTTTCTCTGCTTTAAGTGCGCAGCTATTGAGCTTAATTCTATTTTAAGGCGAGGAGATAAACTCGCCATTCTGTTTCTTTTTCACCACGAAGACAAATACAACACGGTCTTACCGTAATTGCATTTATTAAACTATTCATTGTTCCAATAGCTGTATCAAAAATCAATTGCTCAAAATTTCCTGGCAAATGCAAATCTTGGTTAAATAGCAAAACGAAACGATGTTCAACTGTTTTTCCTCCAGACTAGACTATCTCTGTTTTCACTGAGTAAAAAGAAAAGAAAATCTTAGAAGTGTTAAAGACCGCAGGCCTGTAAATCATCAACACAAAAGACTTGACTGAGCCCTTTGATGGGAAATGGCTAATAATCCAGCAGGCTGTTAGGCTCATGGTGTTATTTACTTAAGGTGGACTTGAAGTGGATTGGACCTCCCTAATGAATCGTCCGAGGTGTCTGGGCCGAGAGCTCCTGACGGGCTGAGCTGCAAGAGCTGTCAACTTTAGAGCCTTTCTGTCTTTCACTTCCACGCTTCCTCTCTATCACACCAAACACAAACCAGCTAAAGTGTGTCACTGCTGATGTGCAAGGCAACGTTGATAAACTAAATCAGCACATGGCATTCTGTAATACGGCACAACACTGGGGAAAAAAGAGGGGAACACCAATTCAGTCATCGCCCAAATAAGTTGAATCAAACATTTAGCTGGAGCGATGCGTTCAAGTGCAAAGCAGGCAGGTAAGCTTTTAGGTTTTAACGTACAGCTTAGATTTAGTGATGATTAAAGCCTCCAGATATTATCAAATAACAAAACAAACATGCCCAACGTGTGCTTAGTTTTCTGGCGCACGGTGACTAGCCTGCATGAATAAACAGAGAGCACGCCATGCAATATGCGCCTCCAGCTTCTATATCCTGAAGACGCAGCTATATCTACCTGCTCAGATTCCTCCTTCATGCCCCCCTCATGCCCAGAAGACAATTTGCTCAGCAGCTGAGAAGTGGCGTCTCTCCCTCCGCGCTGCTCGCCCTCCGCCGCCGCGGCTGCTTCCTCCAAACACATTCACTAACATATGACAGTTTGCAGGGAAATTCTTGACAATTGCTTGAGTGTGTGGCATAAATAGCAGGCAGAGCCCTCGCTGGGTTATGATGGGGCGGCTTGATGGTTGCTGGCATGGCACCGCGCTGATTGGTCCGGCCGCGGCCTGACGTCAGGAGGCTGGGAATAAGGCTGTGCTGGAGCTTTAGGAGCAAGACAGTGTACTGGAGACTGAGGGCATCCCAGCATACACACGGTACTGGAGACTGAGGGCATCCCAGCATTTACACTGACTACTACCGGAGCCGCCTGCGCATCCCAGCATCCCCCGCCACCACAAGCTGAACGTCCAGGATCATCGGACACTCTTTTTGAAATCTTTTGGGTGTGTGATTTTGTTTCTCGCAGGGTTTTGAACAGTGGATACGCTGCCATGTCAAAGTACACTGAATTATTTATAGGCGCGCGTGTCTTGTTGTGTGACAGCTCTGCCCTAAAAGCATTTTATTAGACGCCTCTTCCAGCATTGACTGGCACTCGACGCTCCTTTCAGCCGATGCGTCACTTCCAAGAGCGCCGGGACAACCAGACTGGGTCCAGTCTTCTCGCCTGAGCCGATCTGCAGCTTCCTGTGTTGAAATCTACATTTTGGTTGAATTGCGTGTTTTGCCCCCGGATCCAATAAAGGACTGATTTTTATGTTTTCATTTTGGCTTTTTCACCTGAGGGAGAGGACGCGGTCGCCATCCTTTCCTGTGTGTGTTTTTTTTTTTTGGACGCTGAGCCCTTTACGCATGCAGGGAGAAATCTGTGGTGACACCTGATCGACTGGCTTCTCCGCGCACATTCACCCGGGAGCTCCAGGCGAATCAGGGAGGGAGAAAGCAGATAGTCGGTCAATGCTCGGACTGTGCTGTTGATTTTGTTTGTGTGTGTTCTTCACTTGTGGGGTTGTAGCCCAGCCAAAGCCATGGTCCACTGCGCCGGCTGCGAGAGGCCTATTCTGGACCGCTTTCTGCTCAACGTGCTGGACAGAGCCTGGCACGTCAAGTGCGTGCAGTGCTGCGAGTGCAAATGCAATTTGACAGAGAAATGTTTTTCTCGAGAGGGGAGACTGTACTGCAAAAATGATTTCTTTAGGTAAGGTCGGGAAAGGTGACAGAAAAAAGTCACAATTTATTATTATTGTTATTATTATTATTATTATTATTATTATTATTATTGGACTATAGCAGCAGGTAAACAGAGATGATACAGCCTAAAGAAATTTAAATTGGAGCTTAAAAATACAGCAAAGATGGTGCCTCACAGATGGAAAACACTTGTACTTTAGGCCAAACATAACATTTGCCTGAAAAATCTTGCATCTTCTATATTATTTACAACTTTTAAACTGACTGTGCACCATTCATTAACAATTACTAGAAACATGCCTTGCAATTCTTAAAAGCTCAGACTGCCCCCTAAATAGTTACATAAAAAATACATTATGTTTTTAGAATTATTAAAAAGAGAACTTAGCACATCTATTGAATGCACATACAGGATGTCAATGATTTACAGTGATGCAGATTCTCTTTTTCTCTAAATAAATGAGCAAACCGACCTGTCCGTGCCTGCAGGCGTGAATGAAGCTTTGATTAGAAGCGAGTAATTAAAAGCTTGTTAATTTGGATTCTTATGCAAAACAACAACAAAAGAGGGGCAGAAACATTAAACGCGTGTGCACTCGCTCTCAGCGGGGAGAGGGGGGCGGTTTGTTAGGAAATCGAGGAAATCACACTTGGGGTGTGTTTTTTTACAGCGTGCAGGCGGCCGGGGAGCGCTCAGGATCAAACCCCGGCCAGAGCAGCCGCTGCCCCAATGTGTTTGCTCAGTCCGACTGAGGAGGACGTGATAAGTGGATTTGAATAGTAAACTAGTTGAAAAGATCAAGTCCGCAGACAATGCAATCACAGACGTGCAGTCAACAAGCCGTGCGCACCACTCAATACACATTGTTTAAGGTGAAGTCAATGGTAGGGCTATAATGTCTTATTCCAAAGCAGCCTGCTGTGTTAGTGTACAGGACCAGTTTATTTACTGGATTTCACCGTTTAGAACATATTATATTGTCTTTTAGGGAACAAACTTGAAAATGTAGAGGTAAAAAAAGTAAAAAGATTGATAGAACAAAAGCTAGTCACTATAGCAGGCCAGTACATAGTTGTGCAGTGTCTTCTGGCGGGACGAAATCATGGCATTGTTTTAAAAAAAAAAAATTAGAACTGATGCACAACATCAAAACATTTTTATAACAATTAAAAGTATTTATAGAGCCTAAGTTTCCCAACATATTTTAACTGCACACACAAAAAAATGCATTTTGATGTAGCATTATAATTATTATTATTATTATTATTATTATTATTATTATTATTATTATTATTATTATTATTATTATTATTATTATTATTATACCCAACATGTCAGATTGAGCATTCATATTCTTCTTATTTGGGAGCACAAAGTCCAAAAAGCTCTTTTATTAAGTGAAAGTCTACATAAAAAGCTGTTCTCTTTTCTCTATTTTATGAGTTGCCTATCTGGAATTATTTTTTCATGTAAAAGAGTAAATTTAATAATGGTTTACTTTACTAAATTCCGTTTGTTTTCAAATGGGTGTGAGGACTTTATTATACCTTCTTCATTTTTTAGGCTACTGAGTCTTCTCATTTTTAAAATGTTCGTCTATATTCTGCGAAATGAGGCTCGTCCCGTCCTCCCGATCTCTGACCTTGCTGAACGTTGACATTATTATTATTTAAACGCTTCAGAAATGTTTTCTGTAAAATCTCTGTGAGAATAATCTCTTCTCCTTTTCCTCCTGCAGGCGGTTCGGCACGAAGTGTGGCGGTTGTTCGCAGGGCATCTCTCCGAACGACTTGGTCCGGAGGGCCCGGAGCAAAGTGTTTCACCTTAACTGCTTCACCTGCATGATGTGCAATAAGCAGCTCTCCACCGGCGAGGAGCTCTACATCATAGACGAGAATAAATTCGTTTGCAAAGACGATTACCTAAACAACACCAGTGTGAAAGACACCAACCTCCTCTCAGGTGTGTGTGAGTGTGTTTGTGTGAGTGCAAGGCGGGATAAATTGTGATGGATGTGAAGTGTTCAGCCCCGCAGTGGCTTCATCATTTCCATGACCAGGACTTAGATGGCATTCAGACAGTAGAATTTAACCAACAACAAGAGAAAAACGGTCCATCCTCGATTCATTTTTCTGTTCACACACGTGAAACATTTTCAGTTCAAGCCTTTTATTTTCTTATTTAGCAGTTAATACTGGGATCTGTATTCGGGCCTGTAATGTAAATATGCAGAATAGATTTGGTCCATAATCTGTCATGTGGGATTTTATTACGTTTGTTTGTGATTTTTAATTAATATTCAAGCAGACGAGAAAAACACATCATCTGCTTTTTATTTGGCCAAAACGTTCTCGTCTTTATGTGTTTACATGGCTCTGAATGGTGGAACACATAAAGCAGCGCAGCATCAAATTGATGAATGCCGTTTAAAGGCGCAAAAACACAGCCGAACCTTCCACACAAAAAATCGTTCAGCACACACCGTTCAGCCTTTTTTTTTTTAATTAATGTTGGTGGTAGTTTGCATCACCGAGGGGAGGTCACAGCTTGCCCATCACATCACTGCTGACAGTCCTCAGTGATAAATGTAGTTTTGGGGAATAGGGTGGATTTTGTTCTTCCCCACTTCAGTTTCTCACTGCAGTACTTCCATTGTTTGGCTCTGGTTATCCTGATGTTCCTGTGTAATTCCTGCAGTAACGGCATGCAGCGACCCCAGTTTATCGCCGGACTCTCAAGACCAGCTACAAGACGACGTGGTCCTAAAGGACACGGAGATAGCCGCCCTGTCCGACAAAGAAACAGTCAATAACGAGAACGACGACCAGAACCTCGGAGGGAAGCGGCGCGGACCCCGGACCACCATCAAGGCCAAGCAGCTGGAGACGCTGAAGGCGGCGTTCGCTGCGACCCCCAAACCCACCAGACACATCAGGGAGCAGCTGGCCCAGGAGACCGGCCTCAACATGCGGGTCATCCAGGTAACGGAACATCTACGGTTAACATCCAAGCTGGGTTCTGATAACTCCCAAAGATCCTGAGTTCATTCATTACCCACCATACATACATAAAGAGATGTGTAATAGCTAGCCTATATATTTTTTTTAGAAAACGGGCGTTTCTCAGTCCGGGTCCACGTGGCCCCGAATAAAAAGCTCTATTGTAATTATAGGTTTCACCATCCCCAGTCATTTCTATACGGTTCAATAGTAAATCATCAAAACGGGGTTCTTCTGGCTCTGTCTGAGAAGTCTGAAATCTTATGGAAATAATATTCCGGCGACACCCACAGGTTGAGGAGCTTGCGCCTTTCCTGTTTTATGGTGTTACGCACCCATTAAAATGTGTGATGTAACAGCTTATATTTTATGGAAAACTGTCCCTGCCAGGCTGCCAGACTGCCATGACCATGCAGGCCTCATCACATCAGAGAGGCTCCACCTTCCCCAGCATCACCCCCCCCCCTCCCCCCACCTCACATCACCCCTTCTTCACCCCTCTTTAAAGGAGGCCTCACCCTTCAAACTGCGCGGTCACATTGAATTCATTAAGCCAGAGATTGGCCGACGGACTAGGTTGATTTGGAAATGGGTAATTTATATGGGTATTTTTTGATTCTTGGCGCGCACGCCGGGGCAAAGTCGCCAACTGGCGCCGGGCTGCTCGGAGCGCTGGGCGCTGGGAGTCCTGGCACAGCTCTGCCATCACGTTTTGCGACCACGTTTAGCCATGCTGTGAGCATTTCCAGCCAAGTGAAAAGACAGAAATCTGTTTGAAGGGTCTTCAGATTGTCTCTTCTCAACTCTGAATTACAGCAGGGCCGCTTTAAGTTAAACAAAGAGCAGAAATCCGACACCATGTTGTTGTTGTTGTTATTATTATTATTATTATTATTATTATTATTATTATTATTATTATTATCGATTTGATAATAAAATAATAAAATATTGATA